CAGGGGGGGAGCAGGAGGTCAGGGCTGCATGCTGCCCCCAGCCAGTACCGCGGGGCTGGGGGGGCACTGGGAGTGAGCAGGTCCACAGGGCTCACACTGGTGTCCTGGGGCCAGCATCGGTGGGGCCCAGAGCAGGGTGGCAGGAGTACAGGGGTCCTGGCCGGCAGGGGCTATATGGAGCCAGGCCAGCTCTCCCTTCTCCCTGCTGGTGCAGCCCAACCCGGCTCCACAGACCCCTGCCAGCCTGCATCCCACTCTCGGCCCCACCGGCGCTGGCTCCAAGACACTGGGACATTGGTCCCAAGATGGTGACCAGGGGGTGGGGCTACCCATGTGGCCCTTGACAGCTTGCGAAAACTGGGTAAATGGCCCTCTGCCTGAAATAATTTCCCGCCTCTGGTGTAGCTGCCAGCTGGGAGACCGGGCTGCACCCGGGATGCTGTAAGCCCTGATGGGAGCAGCCCAGGCTCTGTGGCTAGCAGCAGCTACCCAGAGCCAGGACTGGCTGCAGCTGGTAGGCTACAAACAGCTGCTGCCTCCTTGGCCCTGGCCCCAATGGGCACGGTGCCAGCACCTGCTGCCTTCCTGGAGCCCAGGGCCGGGAGACAGCTGGGGCCAGGGCTGGGGCAGGAGGGCAGCAGCTGTTTGTAGCCTCCTGGCTATGGCCAGCCCCAGTTCTGGGTAGCTGCTGATAGCCATGGAGCCTAGGCTGCTCCCATGGCAGCCCTGCTGCAAGCAGCCCGGGCTCCCTGGCCGTCAGCAGCTACCCAGAACCTGGGCCAGCTGCAAAAATTTGCTGCCTCTCCACCCCTGGCCCCAGTCCCAGCTGCCTCCCAGACCTGGCCCTGGGCTCCAGGGAGGTAGCACATACTGGCAATACTCCCCGCTGTGTTGCCCTCACCGCTTCTGCAAAGCAGTGTTGGAACATGGGACAGCAGGGCACAGCGGGGTGTGCAGAAAGCTGCCTGCTCCGAGCTCCCTGCTGCCCTGCCACGCTTCCCCTGTGTGCACGGGAGCAGCATGGGCAGCAGTGCAGGGTTGTGCCCCTTGCTGCTGCCCCCACCTGTGCCCCTCTGCAGCATGGCACCCCATCTTACTTTCAGTTCCCTCTGGGTACCCCAGTGGCATTATGCTACATGGGGCGCCAGGTTCTAACGCTGCTTTGCAGAAGCAGCAAGGGCAGCACAGCAGGGAGCACTTCCGGTACATGCTGCCTCCCTAGAGCCCAGGGCTGGGGCTGGGAGGCAGCTGGGGCTGCGGCAAAGAGGCAGCAGATGTTTGCAGCTGGCCCAGGTTCTGGGTAGCTTCTGACAGCTACAGAGCCTGGGCTGGGGGGCAGGGGCTTTGAGGGGCAAGGGGCAGCAGGGCTGGGGGGCAAGGGGCACAAGCAGGGCATCCTGCCATGTACCCCCTGCCTTCATTTTGTTTTTCTGGCATGCCGGCACTCTGGCACCTTCCAAGGTAGGCATTGTGGTGTTTTTTGGCACTCCAGCCAAAAAAACGTTGCCTACCCCTGTCCTAGACCATCACAGTTCTAACTCCACTACAACATTTATGGATAAAAAGTTTCAGCCCTTCCAATACAGGGGTGTGCTGGCTGGATGAGTTATTTGGGCCTGATTCACAGGCTGGATCCAGAGCTTGGGGCCATGTCATCTGGCCTGCCCACCAGTTCAGAAATTTGGTAGCGAGGCAAGTGGCAGCAGCATTAATTCCTGTGACTTGTCCCACTGGCAAATTTATGAACCACAGGTAGTCCCGTGGGCTAGGTGACTTGGCTCCATGCTCTGGATCTGGCCTGCAGGGCTGACCATGTGTTGGAAATTTGGTGGCTGAGTGGTGGGGTGAGTCGTAGCTACTGTGGCCCAAGAGGCATGGAAATGAACACTACCAAATTTCTAGCCCTGTGAACAGCTGTGTGAACTAGATGGAATGGCTGGTGCCTCCTGGGTTTGGGGGAGGGGGGCGCACCTGGGGTACTCCCATGGCCGATTGCTGAGCTGCGGAGGTGGAGGTGGAGGGGGGAGGCGCGTGCTCTCTGGTGGACCCGGAAGTGGACCGGAAGTGCTTCTGGTCCACTTCTGGGTCTGCTGCTGAACGCATTGGGAGCCCCCCGTGTTTCTGTGGGACACTCCACATGCCCCAGCACTGCAGTATTCATGAGGCACCTGTTACCTAGAGGTATGTAGAAAAAACTTTTAAAGCTACATTTACGTCCAAATCGCCAAACCTTTCCGAATCTCTCCAAATTGATTCGGAGGGTTTTGATTTGATTTGGAGATATTAAAGGGCCCTCTGATTCGATTCGGATTTGGAGATTCAGCCACCAAATCGGGCCGAATCTCTGCCGAATCGAATCAGGGACCAAAGCTTTGCACAGCCCTAGTGGAGATGTGTTGGCAGGTTTTGCATTTCTTGTCCTGGTATGGTCTGGATTCAGTAGGTGTGATTTGGGTCATAAGGAGTTTGGTTCTGGTGATGAGGTTAGCAAGGTTCGGTGTTTGTTTAAAGGCTAGGATGGGTGGTTCTGGAAAGATCTCTTTAAGAATTGGGTCTTCTTCTAGTATGGGTTGTAATTGTTTGAGGATTTTCCATGTAGGTTCCAGGGAAGGGTGGTATGTCCTGTGAATGCGAGTGATCAAAGTTCTATCGCACAGGGTTTTATTCAGAGAAGACGCTATTCATAAGTTGTAAAGGTCTATGTGCTCTCAGATAGTACTCATACACACTTTGGTTATTGCTTGGGGCAAATGTGAAAATAACATAATTCAGCTATTTTCTATGGCAGTCCTCCAAGGTGGGAGCCCTCTGCAAGGAACACATCTTTTGAGTTCACATTTGAGAGAAATTTGCATGTCTGACACCAAGCATAAACAAAATACTTAACCTTGATAAAACTTGCCTCTCCACTTACAGTAAAACATTATGATCTTAATGCGTAAACATGCTAAAATTAATTTCAGTGCAGAAAACAAAAACAAAGCCTATGAATTGGGCTTCAGACCCAACACAAAAATCTAGCTGCTGGAACTAAGCATAAACAACACTGATACATTTTTTAACACAAAGTAACTGTAGAACAAATGTACAAATCAATGTCAAACTTTATTGTAAACCAATACACAATGTAAATACATCATTTCCCCTTGAAGTGTAATATAACACTACTGATTAAACAACATGGTCCAAAGACAGGGCAGCAGAATGAAGCCATTGTTTTGCTCACTCAGGCTCTACTCTGAACTTATGATAAAAGAAACCCAAAGTTCAATTTGAGACAGATACCCTAGCAAGACAAAAACCACTGACAAGAGTCCCTTTTTTAAAGATACTGCAGTTTTACTTTGTAAAACCAGAGAAGTAATTTTCAGTAATTGAACTAGAAACTAAATATTGTCTAAAAAAGTTTGCACGGCTGCGCTGTAGATTTATTGTGACCTTATGTGGCTGGATTTGCTCACTTTCATTCCATTTTCGGCTGAAAAAGCACAGCAAGTTGCAGACTTGATTTAGACAAACACAGTGGCAGGAATTCTTTATGATGCTCACCTTTAACTGAAATGGCTAAGGCTGAATGCTCTTCACCCTGCCAGGCACAGTTAGCAACTGAGCACATATCTGTTAGAAGATCTCTGGAACTTTGCATTGTTCTAGTTTACAACTCAACAAGCATGAGTTTTCCCTGAAGAAAAGCTATAACACATTTTAGTCTGCAACATTAATATACAGCATGTTACCTATTTAAAGTAAGACAAGGAGACCTGAATATATTAAATCCAGAACTTTAAGAGTATATATTACATGGACATGAGTGTTTAGTTTATTTGAACATGCCCCAGGCCAGATATCATGGCCACTTAGGTGATTTTAAAGGTGACAGACATGGTAACTTCATCTCCACAATTTCTGAATCTTTTCTGTAAATTAAAATTAAAATCTGTTTTATTTAGGTTATACTACATAGTTGAATTTCATTGAATGGAAATCCATTACTTTTATATGCACAGCCTAAAATCTTGGTTTGTCTAGAGAAGGAAATGTTTCTCTCAGACTGCACTGCCAACACTTCATCTAACATTTAGCATTAGATGTTACTCTTTCTTATATGTATAAGCTCTTTAAAGATGCGAGTATAAATGTGCAACTGTCACATTGATTTATTTATATTTAATTTTTTTGTCTCATTTAAGATCTTGTTATTTGCAAAGGGTAGGGCCCAACCAAGATGTACCTTGAGATAACTTAAGTGCCTGACACTTTGGAGTAACTGCACAAGTGCATACTTTTACTGCAGTAAAGGGAAGGTAACTTGACCCTCAATGAAAATGGAGTAAAAGTGCACATATTGGCAGTAACCACTCAGTGCATCTACACGTGCTATTAATTCAAAGCAGCACGTCTACACATGCTCCCTCTTGGGAGCTGCTCCTGCCCTGTTCTGCCCCTCTACAGCAGTCAGGGGGAGCTCCAAGCTCCTCCCTGGTGTAGCCCAGGAGCTCACAAGGGGCACAGGCCAGTTCCAGTGAGCATGGAGCCAGGAGAGCTCTGTTGAGCAGCAGCTGTCTCCTAGCCCCATGCACATTGGGAGGGGACCTGATATGTACAGGGCCAGGAGAAAGCTGTTCCTGCAGCAGGCACAGTTCTCCTGGCCCTGTGCCTATCTGGACACATAGCTGCCAGCAAGCCCCCTGCTAGGCAGGGCTTTCCTGCCTGGTGGGGGGTTGCGGGGAGCTGTCCTGGGTGTGGGGCAGCTGCAGGTGAGCCTTCTGCTGGATAGAGAGGGGAGGGGGAATCCAGCCCACTCCCTGGAGCAGCTGACTCTGTGTGGTTTGGAACTGCTCCGGGGAACAGGTGAGTGCTGGATTTGTAGTCCCTGCCAGCTCCCTGGAGCAGCTGGCATCGTGCCATGTGGAGGTATTCGGGGGGGGGGAAGGGGAGGCTGGGTTCCCAGCCCCTGTTCATCCTCCCGAGCTCTGTGCTAGGAGCCAGGACAGCAGTCCCTGTTCATCCTCCAGAGCTCTGTGCTAGGAGCCAGGACAGGAGGCAGAGAGCTCCCCAGTCCTGTAGCTGATTGGCTTTCAGCTCCTGGGGGGAGCGGGGGGAGCTGAGCAGTGCCAGGACTACAAACAGAGCTCCCCGTCCCCTGTGGCCCCTTGCTGGCTAGGCTGACTGGGAGTAAATTTGCTCTGGGTCAGCATCTACATGAGTTCTTCAATTTATTTTTAAAAAAACCCCACACAGCACACAACTAGTATTTAACAACTTATTGCAAACATTACATTTTAGTGCACAGTAACAGGTCAGCAACTCTAGTTAACTCTCAAATGTCAGGTTTGATAACATGTCCCTTTTCGTTAGCTGGAGAGATTGAGGTTTATCTATAAAGTCCCAGGATGTTCTGTTCACCTCAACCAGCCAAGCAGGAAACAAACAGGAATGTTAGAACAGCAAAAGCAAGCAAGGGAGTGAGTGCACAGTTTAATATTTCCTAAGGCCCACCGATACCACTTAGTCTTGATAATATGCCACATTAAGACCAGGCAAGTTTATAAAAATGTAAAAAATTATTAAAAAGTTCTAGCTGTTTTCCAGTGAAATTGTTTGGTTTAAGGCTTGGAACATATGTGATGTCCACATACTACCACAGATTTGCAATATATATATAATCCTTTATTTCTTTGATATATCACCTTGTGCTATGCAAAATTTGATTAAGCCAAGAAAGTTGTCAAAACCATAATCATCATTTAGGTTTTTTAGGAAATACTCATAGCAATACACCACTGAAAACATAGCTACTGATGCTGAACTCAAATAGACTTACTTTCAGTAACCAAAGAAAGCTGATACTGAAAGCTGCAGATATGTAGCTGATGCAGTAACAGGTGCTTTATACCTCTCAGTCTTATTCGAAAGAGAACAAGGAAGAAAGAGACAGGTTTTTTGAGGAAATGAAGAAGAGAGCTAGAAAAACATCACTTTAAAGCCTTCCAATAAATTATTATTAAATGTCAGCACTATACACACATATTTAAATGGCAGAAATCTTTTAAACCAAAGATACAAACATGGGATAGAATTATTATTTGCATCACTGTGCTAATATCTGCTATCAGATTAAGATTCCATGTGCTAGAAACCATACAAGTAAATAGAAAAAAGGAATGTTCTGCCTCCTTTTAAACTGCTGAGAGGTATGATCAGGAGACTTTTAGATTTTTAAGCAATAAATATCAGCAGTCATCCTTAGAAGTTCATTTCTTAGATAAAGGAACTATATAATAAGAAAGGTTTGTTTTTGCTGTATGCTAAAGTGCATGTTTGCCAAATATGCAGAGTACAATCTCCCATTATACAAAAATGTATTGTAAAACAATGTGGCTAAAACCACATTTAGGGTTACATTTCTACTGGATATTTGGTGATTTCAGTAGTGAAAAAGACAGCTTTTCTCTTTATGATCTCTTTGCGTTTTTGTAGTTGGGAAACACAGATAAACAAGAATGTCAGTCCAAATCTTGACCTTTTTTCTGCACAAAAAGGGAATTGTTTACATTTCTCTGACAAAGAGAATCTTTAAATAACAGTAAGAAAATATAACTTAAATATAAAACTGTCAAACTGGTTAGAGGAGACTTGAAAAAAAAATCTTTTCCCACCTATTACTTTTATAGGTACCTTGTACAAAGTAAACATATACTTAAAAAAATAACATTGTTACTGTGTGTAACCATAAAACTATTCTGCTCTAGTACTTAATATGTTGCAAAAGCCAGTTTTAGTAATAAAACTTACTGGTTTAACTTAGTCAATCCTCATGCCTTTTTCAGATCATCTTGCATCGACTCATTCAGTAACCATAAATTAACCATTGTAGTATTTGTTTTTTATGGTCTTCTGTGAAATCTCAGATACAAATCACCCTAGTCCTTGGTCCCTAATAATGCTGTTTTCACATGTGATGAAAAGACACGCTTGCATATTTGGTTAGCATTTCTGTAGTGCAACTGAACTGGAAAGTCTTCCATCTCCCTGCATCCTATTCAGAGGCCTGGTTTTGAGTCAGTTTGTAAGAAAAAAGGGATGCTGTTGCAAAGTGAAATGCAACTGACTGAAAAGTCTTTGCCACAAAACCTGCACATTTACAGGCCAGGGAATACATCATACAGGCAGCCCAAAACGATGCTTCTTCTTCTTAACAGGCTTTAAATCAGTCAGTCTCCGCAGATCCTCTTCAACTTCTGATTCCTCCATTTCATCATCTGCAGAAATGAGGATCTACAAACAAAAAACTTCTTCTGAATAATGTATATCAAACAATAGGCACACTCTATTTTCACTCTCCCTCTAACATAAAACAATTTATTGCCACTGAGACTCCCCCTCATTAATTTAGAGAAGAGACTATACTAAATAAAAGAAATTTGGATCAGTTGTTAGGGTTCATGCCACTTCTTGGCATAACTATCCAAAACTTCAAATATTACTTAGAAAGTAACTTGCAATTATTAAAAGATCCTTCATACTTTAATTTTCTTGCAATAAATAAATCAGATATGTCTAAACTGGAGACAAGCCTGTTGAAAGTCTCCAGGTTAGGGTCAGAGGGGACAGCAACAAGGGTAATGTCATGATGGGGGTCTGTTATAGACCACCAGACCAGGAGGAAGTGGTGGATGAGGCTTTCCTCAAACAGCTAGTGGAAGTTTCCCAATCACAGGCCTTGGTTCTCTTCAATCACCGTGACATCTGCTGGGGCAACAATACAGCAGTGCACAGGCAATCCAGGAAGTTTTTGGAGAGTGCTGGGGACAACTTCCTGGTAGACAGAAAACTGGCTGGATCATTGGGCTCAGAGGGTAGTAGTCAATGGCTCAATGTCTAGTTGGCAGCTGGCATCAAGTGGAGTGCCCCAGGGATCCGCCCTGGGGCTGGTTTTGTTCAAAATTTATCAATGACCTAAAAGATGGGATGGAGTGCACCCTCAGCAAGTTTATAGATGACACCAAGCTAGGGGGAGTAGTAGATAATGCTGGAGGGTAGGGTTAGGAATCACAGAGACCACAACAAATTGGTGAGTTGGATCAAAAGAAATCCCATGAGATTCAATAGGTGCAAGTGCAAAATCCTGCACTTAGGATGGAACAATTTACACCACAGGGAGTTATGCGCAGAAAATTCAAAATTATGTGCAGAAAAATTCAAAATTACATAGAATTAATTACTTTTATTTAAATTTTTTTTACAAATTAAGCTAAACATAACACCATTTGAACCTTCTTTAGAAATATACATAGGTACTTTCTATTTATACAGCTATATAACACATTTTATCACAGAATCTTTAGTGCTTTACCATTCTATGAACAAAAAATAAAAATGTAACCAAGCAGGTATGATTTTTAAAACTAAATAAAACAATTAGGACTTGTTATACTGAGATTAGATTTTCTAATTTTCAGCAAATTTACTCTTTTTTTTCTTTTTCATTAAATTAGACACTCGTTTCTTTTCAAAGTCCAAGTTCAAAAGAAAAATAAACAAAGGATTGCTAAAAGTCCTTTCAATAAATAAATCAGATATGTCTAAACTGGAGATAGGCCTGTTGAAAGTCTCCAGGTTAGGGTCAGAGGGGACAGCAACAAGGGTGATGTTGTGGTGGGGGTCTGTAACAAAATTATTGCTCAGTAATGTTGGGTTCTTTGCACAGTACAATACTTGTCAAAATACCAACAAAGTAAGTCAAATAAATAAATAAAATCATAATAATAATAATAAAATAAAGCATCAATAATTGTAAAACAAAAATGTATGTGTTAACTTAAAGTCTTTTTAAGTTCCAAGGTTGAAATAAAGGAAGACCAGCTCTTTCATTTTTTCTTCTGAGAATGAATGGCTGTGATTAAAGAGGACAAAGTTGTACAGTGAATTGCTGCGCTCTGCATCAACTGCGTTTGTTACAGCATTTATGTAACAACCAAATCATATACTAAAAATCAAACATCTACTATACATATTTTAAATGTATTTAAAAAATATATTTTTGTCCTGATTTACATGTTTGTGTACTGTATATAGAGGTGATTGCATAATAGCTCAAAATAAAGTCTTACTTTTGTATATTGTGTATGGGGGGTGTGGTTGGGGGAGGTGTGAAGGGAATGTATGTGCGGGGGGTTGTAAATGTGTGAGGGGTGTGACTGTGTGTGTGGGATTTGTGGGTATGGGAGTGTCTGGGGTTTGTGGGTGTATGTGTGGGTGGGTGTAGGGTTTGTTGGTGGGTATGGCCCTTGTGCCAAATGCCCTGCCTCCTCTATGGTGCACAGCCCCTGCTGCTAGCAGCAGAAGGAGGCAGGAGGCCCTCAGGGCACTCATAGCCATGGCAGGCAGACCCGCCCAGCAGTGTGTGGCTCTAGCTGAGTCCTGGAGGCTACATGTGGTGGCATGAAGCTGGCCCAGCCTCGCTTGCTGGTGCACGCCTTTCAACCAGACCAGGCTGGCTCTGTGCCAGCACATGAGGCTCACAGGACTGCAGGCAGGAGCCATGTGCCATCAGGTCAGGCCAGGCTGGCTCTGTGCCTCCACATGAGACTCCCCATGGCTCCTGGTCTGCAAGCCATCGGGCCGGGCAGACTTTGTGCTTCTACATGCAGCTCCCCACTGGAGTGCTGGAAGCCCCATGTGGCGGCATGGAGTCATCCCAGCCTGGCCCAATGGAGCATGACTCCACCTGCAATGCTGGGAGCCCCATGTGCTGGCATAGGGCCAGCCTGGTCTGCCTGAAGGCACATGCCAGTGGGCCAAGCTGGCTTTGGAGCCAAGACTCAGCCGGAGCTGCATGCCACTGGGGGCTCTGGCTGCCGAGGACCTGCTGCCTGCTGCTGCTAGTGGAGGCTATGCATTATGGGGGAGGTGTGGGGGACCCACACACATGAACAAACCCTGCACCCAATCACACACACTCCCACACCCACCCACAACATCTCTTGCAGGCAAGAGCTCCCTTCCCCATTCACCAGCTGTCCAGGTGTATGCCTCCACATTCAGTGCCTCCATATAGGTCTCGCAGCTGGAAGCACAGAGCCTGCCCGGGTTAAATTATCCAATATTATGCAATTATGTGTGGTCATACATTTTATGTGCAAAATTATGCAGGGGCATAATTGCTTAATTCGCTGGGGTGTAACAATCCCATGCACTGGTACAGGCTGGGCACTGACTGGCAAAGCAGCAGCCCTGCAGAAAAGGACCTGGGGGCTACAGTGGACAATTGCTGAATAGGAGCCCTGGTTCCCTTGTTGCCAAGAAGGCTAACAACATACTGGGCTGCATTGGTAGGAGTGTTGGAGGTATGCAGTCCCACTAGGGGAGATGCCTTACTTGACTTGGTGCTGGCCTCAGGGGAGGACTTGGTGGGGGAGCTACAGGTACAAGTTAACCTAGGGGATAGTGACCACCAGCTGATAGGATTCACTATCCAGTTTAAGGTGGGAAAGCCAAATAGTAGGGCAGTAGTGCTAGACTTCCAGACGGCCAACATCAACGAGCTCAGGAGATTAGTTAGGGTGGGACTGAGGGGTAATCACATCTGTGAGATGGGGGTCCAAGAAGGGTGGGAGTTCTTCAAGGGGCTGATCCTACAGCCACAGAGGAACACCATCCCAGTACATGCAAAGGGAGGCAAAAGAATTAAACAACCTTCTTGGCTGAGCAGGGAAATCCAGGAGAGCCTTCAGAGGAAAAAAGAGGCCTATAGGCTGTGGAAGCAGGGGGCAGCCACCAAGGAGGAGTGTACCTACTTGGCTTGTGCTTGCAGGGAAGCAGTGAGAAAGGCCAAAGCAGATACAGAACTCAAGTTGGCAACAAAGATTAAGGATAACAAAATATCCTTTAAGTATATAGGGAGCAGGAAGAAGGCACAGGGTAGCATAGAGCCACTACAGAACGGACTAGGGCAACTCATAACTGATAGGATGGAAAAAGCTGAGCTCTTAAATAATTACTTTGCTTCTGTTTTCCTGGACACGGATACAAATGCACCTCCCAATGAGTCTTTAGTCTGGAGTGAGAGTAATACCAATCCACCAACGGTTACCACGGACCCAGTGAAGGGGCCCTTGGAAGGGTTGGATGTATTTAAGTTGGTGGGCTCCGAAGACCTTCTCCCAAGGGTACTAAAGGAATTGGCTGATGACATAGCAGAATCACTGGCGCAGCTGTTTGCGCACTCGTGGCACTTGGGACAGGTCCCAGAGGACTGGAAAAGGGCCAATGTGGTCCCTAACTTCAAGAAGGGGAGGAAGGAGGACCCGGGTAATTATAGGCCAGTTAGCCTCACCTCTATTCTCAGCAAGACCTTAGAAAAAATCATTAAGTTTCACATTTGCAGGGGGCCAGCAGGTAACACAATGGTAAGGGGCAACAAGCATGGGTTTATAGATCCTGCCTGACTAACCTGGTCTCTTTTTATGATCAGGTCACAAAGTGCTTAGATACAGGGGAGGAAGTATTTGGGGGAGAAGGGTTTGGGGGAGACCTTGTTTCCCCCAGCGCCCCCCAGGATAACAAGGAATAACGGCCACAAGTTGTTGGAGAGTAGGTTTAGATTAGACATCCGTAAGAACTACTTCACAGTTAGGGCAGCTAGGATATGGAACCAACTTCCAAGGGAAGTGGTGCTGGCTCCTACCCTGGGGGTCTTTAAGAAGTGGCTTGATGCCTACCTGACTGGGGTCAATTGAGCCCAGTTTTCCTCCTGCCCAGGCAGGGGGTTGGACTTGAAGATCTACAAGGTCCCTTCCGGCCCTCCTCCTATGATTCTATGATTCTAAGTAGATATTATTAACCTGGATTTTAAAAAGCAAACTGAGTAGCTGTGATATGGATTTTTTCACAGTAAGGTGGGTGAAAAACTGGCTTATGGGATGCACCCAGAGACTGGTGGTGGATGGGTCGGTTTCTCCCTGGAGGCATGTGGGCAGTGGTGTCCCCTAAGGCTCTGTCCTTGGACCAGTACTGTTTAATATCTTCATCAGCAATTTGGATGAAGGTGTTGAAAGCACCTTGTGCAGATTTGCAGATGACACTAAACTATGGGGCATAGTAAACACACTGGAGGGCAGGGAGTGAATTTAGGCAGATTTGGACAGACTGGGGAAGTGGGCAGATCAGAATAGGATGCAATTCAACAAGGATAAATGCAAGGTGCTGCACCTGTGGAGAAAGAACCTCCAACACAACTATAGACTGGGGGTTACCATTCTGAGCACCACAACAGTGGAAAGAGATCTCGGAGTCCTGGTTGATGCAAAAATGAACATGAGTCACCAGTGTGCCGAGGTAATAAGGCCAACCACACACTTTCCTGCATCAGCAGGTGCATCACAAGTAGGTCTAGGGAAGTGATAATTCCCATCTATGTGGCATTGGTGAGGCCGCAGATAGAGAACTGTGTCCAGTTTTGGGCGCTGCACTTCAAGAGGGACGTGGATAACCTTGAGAGGGTTCAGAGGAGGGCTACTTGTATGGTTAGGGGCCTGCAGATAAGACCCTATGAAGACAGACTGAGGGACCTGAATCTCGTCAGTGTCCACAAGCGAAGGCTGAGGTGATCTTGTGGCTGCCTACAAACTCATTGGGGGGGGCAGCAGGGAATAAGGGGGACTCTGT